TTACCCTGCTTGATAAGGTCGACCAAATATTGGGTAGCTGGGTCCTTCTCCATAAGTGCCCGAATTTGGTCTCTAGTGTTCGTGGAGACTGCACTCCCTGAAAGAGCAGCTACAGAGCAGATGGCAGCTAAATCGGCTCGTCGACTCATAGCATCAGCAACATGATTACTAGAGCCGGGACGATACTCTAACATAAAATTAAACTCTGAAAGGAATTCCTGCCAGCAAGCCTGTTTGCTCGATAGTTTTGGTTGGGACATGAAGTGACTAACTGCAGTGTTATCTGTCTTTACAATAAATGGAGACCCAAGCAGATAGTGACGCCATCCTCTGAGACAATGGACAACTGCTAACAATTCCTTTTCATGTGCCGAGTAACGACGTTCTGTCTGGTTTAACTTCCGGCTTTCATATGCTACCGGATGTCCTTCTTGCATGAGGACTTCACCAAGGGCAAAATCTGAAGCATCTGTATGAATTTCGAATGGTTTAGCCATATCCGGTAAGGCTAAAACGGGGTTCGTCCACATGGACTTCTTCAACCTTTCAAAAGCAGCTTGGCATTGGGATGACCAATCCCAATCCTTATCCTTCTTTGTCAATTTAGTAAGGGGCAGTGCAATTTCTGAGTAGCCTTTCACAAATCTTCGATAGTAATTGCATAACCCTAGAAATGAACGTACATCATGTACGATTTTTGGTTGTTGCCAATCTTTGATGGCTGTAACCTTCTTCGAATCCATGCGAATTTTGCCTTGTTCAATGATGTGACCCAAGAAACTGATAGATGTCTGAGCAAATAAGCATTTAAACGGCTTAGCATAAAGTTCATTCTCTCGTAGCCGATTAAAAACTTGCCTCACATGCTGGACATGTTCCTCCAATGTCTCGCTGTAGATTACTATGTCATCCAAGTACACCACGACAAAATCATCTAAGAACCCGTGAAGTACCTGATTCATCATAGTACAAAATGTTGCTGGAGCGTTTGTTAAACCAAAAGGCATCACTTTAAATTCAAAGGCTCCATATCTGGTTACCACCGTAGTTTTTGCTTTGTCTCCCTCCTTGATCCGAACTTGTCAGTATCCGGACCTAAGATCAATTTTTGTGTAATACTTCACCCGACTCAGTCGATCGAAGCAATCCGCAACCAATGGGATAGGATAGCTATTCTTTACAGTGATCTTGTTCAAGGCTCGATAGTCGCAGCACATTCTAAGAGAACCATCGGCCTTTTTTAGAAACAATACAGGAGCTCTGTATGGCGACTTCGCAGGCACAATGATTCCACTCTCCAGCATTTCCCCCAATTGCTTCCTAAGCTCTTCAAGCTCAGGCTGAGACATACGGTATGGAGGTTTGGCGCCTTGAATGAGTTCAATCTCATGATCAACCGTCCTTCTTGGTGATAATTTCTTTGGTAATTCTTCCGGCATGATATCCTCAAATTCCCGAATAAGCTTTTTAACGGGTTTTGGGATAGGACCATTTGCTTCTTCGATCTCCTCTAATCGAAGAGTGCACAAAAAAGAGGGTTCATTTCTCTTGAAACCCTTACTAAATTGCATGACTGAGATACTCTTCTCGCCCATCCTCCCAACCTGTGTAGGGATGACACACGGCTTATTACCCATCATCATTAACGAATCGGAATATGGCAACACTGCTGTCTTAGTATCCCGAAGAAATTCCAATCCTAGAATAAGCTTGAAATCATTCATCTGAACTGCAGATAAATTTGTCTTTCACTCGAAAGGACCTGCTTTGATCATCACCGATTTCGCCACTCCAGGTATTGGTTGAGCAGCGGAGTTGATTGCTTTGACTTTTCCACTGCCCTTTTCTAGAACAAGTCCGAGCCGCTTTACCTCGGTACATGCAAGGTAGTTGTGGGTAGCACCAGTATCCACCATAGCCCTGATTGGCTTCCCATTGATTTTTACATCAATGAACATTAAGCCTTTGGCCCTACAAATATGAGCCTTCGCTTCTTCCATCTTTGCCTCTTTCAATGAGACGTCATCCTTTTCAGCAACCCGATGCGATAGTGTGTTGCACCGATGTGAAAATGCCCCAACTACTTCTTCATCCTCTTCAGAGTCTGTCTCACTGTGACAATTAGCCTGTGGGGCCTTTTGTTTTGAACTTGGCCCGCCACTTGCTAACTGACAATATGCATTCACCATCCGCTTCTGAGGACACTCCGACACCCGACGAGGTCCTTCACATAAAAAGCACTTCCATTTGGGAGTGGCATCAGTTCGGCCCTCCGTTGCTTTTCCTTTGTTCCAGTTGTTATTATTACTGCCGTTAAAATTTCCCTGACGGCTGTTATGATAATTTCCCTGAAAGTCACGGGTGCTTTGATAGGCTCCTTCTCTATTTTAAGAGTAGCGCTCTCCCCCATTTGGGTTCGAGCTGGGTCTGTAAGATCTGTTACCACCTCCAATTGCTTGATTATTCCCCGAAGGTCGATCTTTTCTAGATTCTGTTTGGTAGTCGCTCAAGCATTCAGCGGCTCCCATGGCCGTGCTTAAATCAGTAACCTTCTGTCTTTGAAGTTCTGTGCGTGTTCACGGTTTCAACCCTTCCATAAAGGTGAAGAGCTTATCATTTTCTGACATATCTCCAATATTCAGCATATGCCCTGAGAAGGATTTCACACTCTCCCTGATAGAGCTCGTGTGTTTCAGGTCTCGAAGAGCCCGTCGAGCCTGATACTCGACATTTTCCGGGAAAAACTGCGATCTGATCGCTTCCTTGAGGAGATCCCAAGAATCAATTCGAATCCTGTGGGCCTGAATGTCCGCATATTTGGTTCGCCACCATAGTTTTGCGTCTCCACCCAGATACATGGTAGCCGTGGTTACCTTTCTAGCTTCATCTTCGATCGAAGCTGCTAGAAAGTACTGTTCCATATCAAACAAGAAGTTTTCGACTTCTTTTGCATCACGTGCCCTTCCGTAGGTACACGGTTCAGGAATTCTGAGTCTAGGAGCATACTCGGGTGTGGGAGTTTGCCCATTGCCCACCGCACGTTGGAGTACTCGCAATTAAGCTCTCAACGCTTCCATTTCATTCTGCAGATCAGGAATGATTGCAACAGCTTCCGTCATTGCTGCGCAAGCTCTTTGGCTTTCATCCAATTGTATGTGTAATCCACGAATCTCAGATTCAGCCATCTCGACTTTTTCCTCGAGACCTTCCATAGCATAGCACAACCTAGTAGTTGTCTCATCAAGCGCATCCACGCGTTGTTTTGTAGTACCCTTCTTTTGAGGCTCTACCACTTCAGTGGTGTGTGATGTAATTGGATCCATAGCTTTCTTATCGAGGGGCGTGAGCCGCAACTCTGATACCAACTTACACGGGGTGCCTTTCTTCTTGGCACAGAAAGGGATACCGTGCGGCAGTAGTCTGCTCCGCTAGACTACCTTCCGCCTTTTCTCGGTCGCGGCGGGACAAAAGAAAATTTGATTGCAATTTTGTAGAAAGTTTACAGTAGAGAATTTGAATACATTGAAAGTAAATTGAACATTGATTGATGAAAACTGAACATTACAATTGATGAAAGTAGAAAATTACAAATGCTGGTGCAGGAGGCAGACACCAGTGAGCTTGAAAGATTTTTGAATGACTAATACTCCCTATAATAGCATTCTGAACAAAAACCCAAGTGATGGGAGTAGACGTTTAAAAAACGATGAATCATATTAAATGATTACCAATATCAGAGCTATTTTACAATTGAAATAACTATTACAATGAAAAGAAAATTACAACTCAAACTTGAAGTAATATTTACAATGTGCGGCTGAAGTTGGGCAAACTGCGGCTGCGATAGTGTCAAGGGGCTAAGTAAAGCTGCGGGGTTTGACACCTAGCCTCCTATTAACGAATTAAGCCATCTCCCAAGTGAAGTTTCAATATTTTCGCTCATGATTATTGGCATAGGGCCTAAGACGTGGAACTTATCTATTTTCTTTCTTTTATACTTTCTCGTAATTGTCTCTGTTTTTTTGTTTCTGTATTTTTTTAGAAGTCGAAGCATTGTTTTTTATTACCCCCTTTTTTTTCTTTAGACAAACTTACTCTTTGCTACTCTATTGATTGATCCATTTAAGTTCAGAATTGCATCATAGACTTCTTTAATTTCGAGTGTACGGTTTATTATGAGTATTATTTTGGATTTTGGAAAAAGTTTTGAATGATTTTATTTGTCTATTTTAGGCTAGCACCTTCTGTCATCGAGGTAAAATTCATCCATACCTAATTTAGCCTTTATAAACAATGTCCATATGCTTATTTTGAAATTACCTTTGTGGTTCATCAAATTATATCTGGAGCTGTCACATTAGCCCCTGTTTGGCAACAAATTTTAAAAATTCATTTTTCCACGAACTCATTGTCAATCCCACATTTTATGGACCCACAAATTTTGGATCTCGCATTTCATCAAATTTTGTCAAAATCAACTAAATTCTGATTTTTAGCCAAACCAAAAAGGGGCTTGCTTTCCCTTCTAGAACTTGACGCTATATGCTGTTGGCACTTATTTGGGTTATGATTGCTGGGCCAGCCCAAAAATTTGTGGCTTTTAAGTTTTGAAAACTTTGTTGCCCAAGCTAGTTAAAGTTCAATTGGTTCACACCATATAAACTTTCATTTAAGTAATGTCCTGTAAATTCTTGTGGAAAGCTGGTAAGTCCACTTTTAGGATGGGGACTATGCTCCATGTCACTGTTTAGATTGAGACGAGACAACTTCTTGTCATATCTCTTTTACTTAAATTCTAGCTGCTAATGGCATCGCAGACTATTTATCTCTTGTCCTGTCTGTATTCCCAAGTGTTTAAAGGTTTTTCTGATTTTCTTTTGTACTTGTCTATAAAAGCTTGAATGCTGTATAACATGTTGCATTTTCCTTTGTTCTCATTATTTCAATTCTTATGTTTCGGTTTAATTCACAGTTCACATGTTCATTACTTCTAATTTCAGGCTGGTGATGCTCTAATACAGCTGTACCACAATTTCATAACCGAGTTTGAGACAAAGATCAATCTCCTCAAGCTTGCTCATTTTGCTGTCATAGTTTCCCGGCAGTATTCGGAGAAAGAGGCTGCCATAAATTATCTTGAAGGAGTGATTGAAAAGCTTCGTAATACAAAAGAGATGCGCATTGAGGAGCCTATTCTTTATATAAAGATGCAGATTGCTACTTTTAAGCTTGAGCAAGAAGATCATAAAGAGTGCAAGAAACTCTTAGAGGATGGGAAGAGTACACTTGATAGCATGACTGACATTGACCCATCTGTGTATGCCAGCTACTATTGGGTTTCATCTCAACTTCATAAATCTTGTCAAGAATTTGCAGATTTCTATAAAAGCGCTCTTCTTTATTTAGCTTACACTTCTGTGGAGTCTCTGTCAGAATCATTTAAGCTGGTACAGTAATAAATGTCTTTTTTTAATCATTTAAGGAGAAGCTTACTATCATTAGTGCCTCTCATGTAATAAAAATGAAGATTGCTTGTTTGAGAGCTTGATATATGGATATTGAGAACAAATTATATCTGATGGTTCTTTTTCTCATCATTAAGAAGTAGGTGCTTAACTTTTCTAATCATTTAGGGGTGACACATGCAATTATTGTTCAGAAAGAAATCACCTGTAGAGGGGGCTTAGTCCTTACATGACTACTTGGCGCCTAGCTGAAATAGATAGTGAGGTAGTGTGAGAAAGTCAGGGACTGTTTAATAGTGGATCCTGTGGTTGGTGGTGCATTGGGCATGTCTCTTTCTTTTCAGAGCGAGCCTTGGTGAGATGGATCATTTTCTGTATCTTCTCAGGGTGTTCTTGCATGAAATTTATATTCCTATTCATCTAAGGTTCAAGTGGTTCTATTGAACATTCTTTATTTTGGTATGCTGTATTTTCTATTTCATCCGATGGCCTTCATCCTATATCTGGACTTTCTATTGTTAGTATCTTGTTTTATTTTCTTCCCCTTCCTCAAACCTTGCATCATTTATTTAATGATAGAAAAAACTGTTGCATGCATGTCTCAAGGTACTTGAGTGTTATTCATATAATTATCCTGGATTATTGTTTTTTGATTTTATATTGTGATATCTTTGACTCTTACTTGGTCAATTTCATGGTGACTTTTTAAAAAAGGTTTCGTAATCATTTTAAATTCCAAACTGCATAGTTGACAATGCGGTGCTTGGTGTAATTTTCAGGCCATTGTCATTTAGAAATTTGTAATTTGTGTTACAGTTAATAATTATGTATTTTATATGGTGCTTCTCATAATAATATACGAGCCACGTAAATGCTCTATATCAGTGGATGTTCAACCTAATATATCTTTCGTAAAATTCTTTTTGATTGACATGATATTGGCAATTCTATCTTCACATGTTAAGCTAACTATGTTTTCGTTATCTCCAGGATTTGGCATTTGATTTGTCCCTATCAGCATTGTTGGGGGAAAACATTTACAACTTTGGAGAACTCCTTGCTCATCCAATTGTAAGTTATATCTCAGCATCGTGTTCTCTTCTTCCTTTTACTTTTCTCACTTACTAATCAAAATTTAATCGCTTGAATTTCATGAAGGTTATGGTGATATATGCTTGTGGTGTGTATATGTTTTCATTTCTCTCATTATAGAAGCTGAAAATTGGACTTCTTTGCACTGCTTGACAGCGTGAAGTTTAACACCAATATCACTTGCCATTTTCTGGCATTGGTTAAGTCGAGTTGAATGGATTGTAGCAGCAGTAGGTAATAGCTTTTAGCACTTTCCATTTATCTACTAAATGGTTGACTAGAGTAAAGAGTCAAGTAAGGGGAGTCATCATTTCCTTTATGCTAAATGGTGAAGGAAAAAGCATTTTCTTCAAAAGGTCTTTTCTTCCTTTTAGGTGAAAATGGTAGAAATGTTAGAAGTTGTTGAGTGATTCACTTTCGTTGAAATGTTAGAAGTTGTTGAGTGATTCACTTTTAACGAAAGATGGTGATTGTTCAATTGGGAGGATCAAATTACACTCTTGTTAATTTCTTTTGCTGTAAATAATTGTAATTCTTCCATTGGATAAAAAATATTCTCAATTTCAGTTTCACAGTCAAAGTCTTCGTTTTATTTTAGGTTTTCAGGAAATTTTCCAGTTAGTCGCACTTTGTTTTTCATTCATAAATGCCTACCTTTGTTCCTGAAGGAAAATGGCTGTATATTATGGACTACAACTAGAAAATAGGCAGTTTTCAATTTTCATTACTGAGACACCATACATCATATTAACATATGTAACTGGCTTTCCAGAGAAATATTAAACTAAAGGAAAACAATGTCTAATAAGTGCAAGTCACGCACAAGACATAGACTATGGGTAGTCGAGGTGCATTTGAAGTGTTGTAACGCATGTTAATGTTGCCACGACTGATGATTAGATTTTAAAAGATTTCATCAGGCATTCTAGTGAAATGGAACTCAAGATTTTGATTGTTGTGTATGAAATATCTCATGAAGGTCTACCCATTCACAAGCTACGTGATTGTGTGGTGAGAGGATAGGAAAATTGTTTGTATATCATATTGTTTTTGGCTACAAGTGTCGGCATGTGTTTTGGACCTTGATATTTGGATCAAGCTTTCAATAGACAAGCATAGATTAAGGGTACATGCTTTTGTCATACTTTTGGTTATATTGTACATTTTGATGGTTTGAAAGGATAATGATACAGTTAATAGATTAATTAAGTTCCAGGCATTATTATAGTTTGTGGCACTTACAAGGGCAATTACTATTTTCAACATAGCTTTAATCTATTTTTTGTGGGCAGACTGAGTAGACAAGCACAGATTATAGTTAAAATTATCTATTAATTGACTATAAGTTGAAATTATAAGTTTTTCAATGAAAACCTGTTGATACTTGAAACTGCTAATCTTGGGTTATCCTCTGTCCTTAATCAAATTATAATTCTTTGTATGATGGGATGCCTGCTAGTAGATAAGCATAAATTGATCATCCCTATAATCCATAATTTAATGTTCACCTTTACTTTCTTCAGTGATTTCCCGAGCTGCATTTTGTTTAGTATTTTCTATTTAAGTCAAAAATAAGTTTTACAATTATTCTTGGAAATTATATAAGCTAATAATGAACTATTAGTAAAACTTTTGTGTTTGCCTGTGAAAGTCAAATGTGCGTATTCTATTGTGGATGAAGGGAGTATATAAGGAAAGAAGCTTGGGTAATGAGATTATGGCTCATCTTTTGCCAATTTTCATCTTATAAATAATAGAATGAGATGCAGTAGGCTGGGTGCTGTAAACAACATTTGCTGTTGGGAGTTTATATTAAATAGGATGAGACAGGAAATATGTTTGCATAACAATGCATTTTAAAGGCTGTTGAAAATATGTTTTTGTGCTATATGGTCTGGAACATCAACCAGCCATCATGTCTTCCATTTACTTCATTCATTTTATTTTCTTTCTATGGTTTATTCTAATCTTGAATAAATTTGAATTTCTTCAGATTTGAAATGAAAATCAATATCAAAAATGGATTTCCTCTATTGCACTTTTTAAAATGGACTTCAGTCTCAAAGATGGACTTCCTTTATTGCACTTTTTAAAATGGACTTAGCATGAAATGAATAATGTTTGGTTATATGACTCAAACTAGCTCATGATGAAGAAAGGAACTGTCAGATTTTCGTGGGAAGTTTTTGACAGTGTTACAAAATTTGCAGGGCATCATCTGTTAAGGCTAGCCCTATCGAACGTGGGGGTAGACTCTGGAGAGAGCCCATTTCGCGGTTGCTTGATAAACAACTATAATGTTTTTGGATGGGCTTCTATGACTTAAAAGTTAATCTGAAAGTGTTTCCAACCATATGGTGTTGCTCTTTTGAGTTTTGATTACATTTTTGTGTAGTGGATGAGACCAGCATGGATATGTAAATTTGGTCATTACATCATTCTCTTTTTGAAAATGCCTTGATTGGACTATTTACTAGTTTTGATTCCATTTTTGTGTAGTGGATGTGACCAGCATGGATATGAAAGTTTGATCATTACATCACTCTCTTTGAAAATGCCTTGATTGGCTTGTTTACTAGTTTGGATTTTGATTGTTTTGGAATGTACAGGTAAAAAGTCTCATAGGGACTAAGGTAGAATGGCTATACTATATTCTGGAAGCATTCAACTCTGGCAACTTGGTTCGTTATCAAGAATTGTGCCAGGTTCATATGGCTGCTCTTAGTGCCCAACCAGCATTGGTGCAGAATGAGAAGAACCTTCTGGAGAAAATTAACATTCTCTGCTTGATGGAGAATATTTTTAGGTGCGTCAGGAGAATGATTAGATTACTGTTCTGAGCGAGGTACTTCCTTTGTTCATAATGTGATCCCTTATTTAAATTCTGACAACACATTTACCTGCAGTCGACCATCAGAAGATAGAACTATTCCATTATGTGTCATAGCTGAACGAACAAAGCTTACTGTGGAAGACGTGGAGTATCTTCTTATGAAGAGCCTTTCAGTAAGCGTATTAAGTATATTATTTGTTACTTCTGTGGCTTCCTTGTTGACATGCTTGACCAGAAAATTGCTGTCTTTTGATTGCACGGGTTATATTGATGCTTATGTCATTATGTCCTTCGAGATTTTGAGCAAGAAGGGTTACATATTACATTTTCTGTGTTCATTGGTCCCACTACTTAACTTGAGGAAGATGCTAATTATTAGAAAAACAAGTCTGATGCGCTATTTCATTTAATCAAAGTGATACTGCAGTTATATTAACTGTTTAGGGTTTGTTTCCTGTTTAACCAGACTTTAAGCTTTCCTGTATTCATGTGAATATAAAATGGGTTTCTTGGGCAATAAGATGCTTTGGAACAAATGCAGATAGAATCCTGTAATAGTAGACCTAATAAGACGGGATTCAAGAATTACTAACGGGTTATTTGAGCCCAATTTTTATTGAGAATAGGTTCTGTAATAGTGATTTTTTTTTTTGGAGAATGCGTTGAAAAGTGGGGAAAAATTTTGGGTTTACGTGTAAAGTTATTGTATTTGGAGAATGTGTGGTTGAAAATGAGTTTGAGGAAAAATGAGTTTTAGAAATGGGGATCAAACAAGGGCTAATTATAACATCAATTGTAAAGTTCCTGCAACTTTGACTTTTCTTTGAGCTATAATTTGAGTAAGAACACGACTTCTACTTTGCATTATACCACTAGCATTAAACATGTGTTTGACACTCCTTTCAATTAGAATTTGTCTTTACAGTACCTAGGTTTTTTGATTTTTTACTCTCTGCCTCAACGAGGTTGACACATTTTAAGCTATTAAATCTCAAGTTTTTGCTTCTACTGTTTTCAAGCTAAACATGTTACGGTTCTACTAGTATGCTTGAGGTTGAACTTCCACTTTATGATATAAGTGTGATATATATATACCCAAATGAATTTTGGTTCGACCTGTGCTGAAATAAATATACACACTTCTATTTTCCCCCCTCTAATGGAAACTTTAAGCATTAAAAACACGTGTTTGCACAAAAGAAGAATTCGAAGATGATTTGTAGCCACTTTAATGCAATTGATGCTTGGTTTTTATTGTACCGAAGTCTTTGGATTTATTGATATACTTGGTGTATTAAGTCGTCGTCTTTTATTTTTTGGGCAAAAAATCCTAGAATAATGCAAGTCATTTGCTGTTAAGTTGGGGTAGTTAGTTCTTTGCCGATAATATATAGTTATTGAAAATTACTTATGGCTGGAACCTCTCCGAAGGTTGGTAATTGTTTGTTTAATTTTATTGCAGGTGCATCTGATTGAGGGAATTATTGATCAAGTTGAGGAAACAGTTTATGTTTCCTGGGTTCAACCAAGAGTTTTGGGGATTCCTCAAATCAAATCATTGCGTGATCGACTGGACAATTGGATGGAGAAAGTACACACTGCATTGTTATCTGTTGAGGCAGAAACCCCTGATTTAGTCGCAGCATAACTTTAGATCCGAACCTTGTCATATTCATCTGCCACTCTCTTTCTGGCCAGAACATAGTCTTATGTCGGAAGAGGGCAAATTTAAGTTTCTTTGTTGACCCGTGTGCTTAATCACATAATTGCTCGCATTTTCAATTTTTGTTTTAGGGAAGCAGCAACATATTTCTCATAATTTCAAGTTGTGCCTTGGTACTCCCTACATAACAGACAACTGTTTCTACTGCCTCAATTATCTCATGCATGGAACGGTGTAGAACTAATTGTTTTATGCGCAATTTTTGCTTGTCGATGTTTCTTATATCGTGTTACGATCCCTATGCCTCAAAAATGAACCAAATATGCTCTGCTTTAGTGACATGTACACGTAATATTGAAGCATTGCAAAGGCATGAAAATGCATTTCAGATCAGAAAGGAGTACAGATCGGTTGTCCGGGTGGTGTATTATTTTTTGGAAGTTAAGTTTCCTGGAAAGTGTCAATTTCATAACATTTTCTACTGTCGATGGAGGAGCTGGATATGGTGTACATATAAAGAAGCTAGTTACCTTGATACAAAGTTCACAAGATACGAAATTTCATAATATTGATTTTGTAATCGACTTCCTGCACGAGCTAGTTCACATGATAGGCCTCATTTTTTTACCTATGCATTTTGAAGGGCACACAACTTTTATCCACACGTTCTGAAGAACCCAGTGCTTAAAATCTACATTAAGCTTTACCATACACATAAGCTGAAAATTTGACAACAATAATAGTTTGTACAAATGTAAATCCATCCAACAAGCTTTAAGGAAATCTGAAGTACAGATCTTGCAACTAGTTTAGTTTATTGTGCAACATGAAATTTTCCTACATAGGATTTACACAAGCTGCAAAGAACTACGACCTCAATAACAATCGACTTGATTAGACACGTTAACCATGCAAAGACCGCAAACTCGGACATTTCCATACCCCAAGGAAAACTATGGACAGGATTATAATTAGATATGAGCAGACAGCATATAGGGTCAAATAACGTGCGACCCTAGGAGCAAACAATAACATAAACGACCCTGTCTTTGCACTGTCATTTTCACTACCCTGTTTTGTTAACTGAAGTCTTGGATTACTTGTTTGAGCAGTATTCATTTTCTTATTGAGAATTCTTCCCTCTGGCTCAGGTAACTTGGAAGTTCTGTAAATATCTTTGCCAACCTGCATTCAAAAAGCAATAGTAAGAACAGGAAAAAGCATGTCATTTTCTAAATAAAATTTATGAACACAGTGGCCATGGCAATTCATCAATGAAGCAGTGCGCTTTTATATCTAAAGGAACGGTTATCATGCTCGAGTAAATTGTCAAGTATCTAGCTTGAGTATCACAAATAAATTAAGTAGTCTACACTTTTCCACATCAGTAAATGGACCTCACCTCCATAACTGCTGACTCTTGTTCTTCTGTGATGCTGGCATTTAAAGATTTGTCAGTACATATAGAATCTGGTCCAGGTTCCGTCAACAGACGAATTCTCCTAGAGGCAGTTCCCTGAGCTCTTCCTGGAATTTGTAGACTTCTAGGCTGGCGCAACTGAATCTTGATCCCAGTTCCACCAACAGGATTTCTACCATCTTCGATTGGATTTGCCTGATAGAGTGAGTCTTGTGGGTTGCAATATGAATCCATAACAGTATTGGCAGATGAAGCATCTTTTTCAGCAGCATAATTTGAAAGAGAACCATCAAATGACAAAGCAGGGAAGAATCTTGAAGATGTTTGCCCCTGCAGGAAGTCCATGACATTAATAAGAGAAATAGACAGTATATTCTGGAACAACACCATGACTGGATGGTTTTGAGAAGATAAATGAAACTAATCACTCAATGATTAATCGTATTCTTATACACATAACCACGACTAATAGATCTTATATAGAAATTTCAGACACAATGCTGTGGAATAGAGAGATGCTCAAGCTAAAACATAAAATATGCTTTAACGACGCGATTCCAAAAATGCAGCTTCTAAAACATATCAGATCATATGCTTCCTAACCTGCTCTTGAACCATTTCAGTATCTGTCCCTCTGTAGTGTTTATAGTCACCTAGCTTACAGTTTGCAGATGGCCTCTCACTCAGCCTGTTAGTGTGTTCTGGCACAAAGCATTCGTTAGTCATGACCGAGTGCTTGTGATTAGTTGGCTCTTCATAAGAGTAATTGTGACGTTTCTGAAGGACTTCCAACAGCTCAGACAGGGACACGTCCTGTTCAGATGAGCCATCTTGAAAATGAAATCCATTGTGATCATTGCCAAAGTCATCAGGAAATGGTGAACCTATGCAAGCCCCCAATTCGGTATAATTGTGTGATGACAATGGCAACACAACATTATGATCAATTTGATTGTTTGTGGAATCATGGCACATTGAATTTGCTCTTAGTGGTGAATATACCTGAAGTAATACATGAGACAATGGTTCTGGAGGTTAACTTTCTTTAACAAGAAAGTTGGACAAAATAGGAGAGAGTTGCCAACAAAGTTTAAATAGATAAACCTCTCACCTCAGGAGATGATTTTTCTGCCGAGTGAAATACTCCATCAGATCTGTACCCTTTAACAGATGTAAGAATGTTAAAAGTCGTGTTTTCTGACTCGTAGGTCAACCGCCCCTTTTCATCCCCAGACTCCTTGCATATTGGCATATCTAGCACTGAAGGTTCTTGAAAAACATCTGATGATGTCTCATCAGGAGAGGATTTGTTTGTGGAAGGAGACAATCCGGTTGGTTCAGCTTCATCATATTTAGAACTATCTGGCTTCTCATCTGTCTTGTGGAACAAACGGCATAGGACGTAGTCTCCCTGCAGTATGTGATAGAGAAAGCTGAAAACCAAGACTAAAAATACAGGATAAGAAACCAGATATGCACACACATAATACTGGAATCGTCAAATTTTAATTGATTAACCAAAATAACAAACACACACACACACACACACCCTTTTTATTCTTCTGCTCGGGTCGAGGCTGCCAAGCGCTCCTAAGATGGATCAAAGAAGAGAAAGGGAAGACGTGCAAGTAAGGGTGGTTGGGAATAGATCATCAACAAATACACTCTTTTTGGAGGTTGCAGGGGAGGTGTTGGAGGCAATCAGGTCATGGTGAGTAGCACAGGAACAAGACGACGAATTATCTGATAACATAGATAGTAATTCGATAACATAAATAATGGTTTAAGCCCAGTAATTAATCTGCCAAGAGATTTAAGCCGTCATGGAAAGACTCTTCAAAAATCACAATCATCTTTTTTATTTGTATATGGATCTTTTCCAGCTCAGTGTATGATAATGCACATTTTACTCTTTCAAACGTGATCAAACATGATTTCTCAGCTCTTTCTGCATAAAAGCTTATATATTATTGACATTGCATGGCAGTCTTTCTGCCCCTTATTTTCATAGATTAATAACTATAATGCAATCAAAATATGAACCTCATAGGTAACTGCAATTTGACTAAGTAGTATAAAAATGGACCGCTCGAAGACAGTTCAAAGGATCACAATCATCAATAGGTAACTTTCATTAACACAATCTTCAACTTGAGTTTAACAAGCAGAAAAGAAGGATTAAATTGATAAGAGAGAATGTGGGAGTGAATAGTCAAAGCAAGTTCATCTTCGATACAAAATATGAAACAGGTGATGTTTAAGATAGCATATTTACTTGGCAAACTCATCCGATAAAGGGTAGATGTCAATAATTTCAAAGTTACTTGAACCCTGAAGTCCTCAAAAGTAAAAAAAACGAACTGGGGGGTGGGGGTGGGGTGGAGAGATTAAGTAGCTATTGACCTGGCCAGGACTGGTGACATCAAGATCTGGTTCAGTAGCACGATACTCATGCATGATCCAGCTTGTACGTTCACCCTTCGGAGCCCGACCCCTGTAGAAAACCAGAGTCTTTTTCATGCCAATGAAATGGGCATTAGAACAACCAGAAGAGGATGATTTGCGAGCTTTTATAGTACGATCCTTGCCAGTGGCCTTCCAATAACCAGCTTCTGTGGCCCTGTTAGAACGTTGTCCATTTGGATATTTTCTATCGCGCGGGCAGAAGAAGAACCATTCACGGTCATCAGACTTGATCACTGACCGTGCTGCACAGAAAAGAACGCATCACCAATAGATTTAATTTTTCAATTTCTCATACATAACAAATTTAAAATAAATAAATAAATAAATAAAGAATGTAGCTTTGAAGCAAAATACAAGATACAACTTCGCCAAGGAAATCAACTCAGCTCAAGTGCTCAACTAACCCTTATCCATAATTATCAGAGTAGCCTACATTGATCCTCATTTTCCACTATCTTCCGCTTTGTAAAAGGGACTAATTTGAAATATAATTGGCAAAACACATTTGTTCCATTAGTTTAGTATTCAAATCAACTGTTCTTTCTGATATGCATTTATTTTAAAACCAGATGTGAGGCAGAGGCCATCTAGCCATGATAAAAATGTGCAGGAGCATCCCGTGGTCACTTCAAAGATCCAATTAGATTGGTCTTCATTTGTTCGGGCACAGTAACATTGTACCTTGTCGGATCTCTTTGTAATCTTTCTCTTCTTTTCGTTCACTTTTGTTAGGGTCAGCAGGTACCCTTTAAGTCTCATAGGTATTCTCATGGGTTGGCAACTCCACCTCTTGCTTGCAGGAACATATTCAATCTATTGTTAGATGATCATGGTTTTCAAGAAACACTAAATAAGCTCTCCCACCCACTCTACTCCAACAGATTATAAAAATTCCCTAAAAAAATAAAAAATAGAAAAGAAAAAAGAAAAATCTTAAAAAATTGCACATAAGGGAAAATTCCCCAGAACAAATTCTACATTCATAGTTCCTTACTCGAAAGAATTTTACAATTTTGTGCTGAGAACAAGAGTATATATGCCACACAAGATGAATATTATTATTATTATTATTATTTTCCCTATACGTGCTTCCAGGGCAAAGATCTAAGAATCGAATAATCATGACATATAAGCACATGTTCTCCACAAACACATATCTATTGATAGTAATATAGAAATACACACACAAATATATGTACATAAATACCGAAACAAATACCAGGAAGATCCCAGGGCTCCCATTTACAGACATCAACTTCGGCTATAACCTTTACTTCGGAATGACGGCCGTTGATCTTGAGCCTTAGGTAATGATTTATGAGCTCCTCATCCGTCGGCCGGAATCTGAATCCCTTCGGCAACGCCTCCATCTCCATCATCTTTACTATTCCATCAGAACCCATCACATATTCACCATCTCAATCAAAATAGAAATTAGGGTTTTCCTCAAACTTGGCTATATGATTAGGGCTCCCAGGGCACTTCTCCACTGGCAAAGGACGGACGCTGTCAAACCTGACAGAGCAGAGGTCGTGAGTTCGAAATATGGGACTCTTGGAAGGCAAGAATTTATTCTTGGAAGGCAAGGGAACATTTGGAAGGCAAGGATTTATTCTTGGAAGGCAAGTGGGAACTTGGAAGGCAAGGATTATTCTTGGAAGGCAAGGTGCAACTTGGATTGGCTTGCTTTGCATCCTTTATCTTCACGTGCCAATCAAAGTCGCTTTATTATTTGCAATGTTTGGGTACGGTCCGAAAATAGGCCACAAAAGCATTTTTTAGAGCTTTAATAAAGAATTATTATTAACTTTATAAAAGAATGATATTGAATGTATGATTAATTATTTATACCGTATTGTTGAAATTAATATTTGGTTTTGAATGACTAAAAGTAATATTTTTATTAATTTTTAATTTTAAGCAGACTGAGGCATTGTAAAATTTGATGGTAAAAGTAAAATAATTATCTCGTCTGTAGAAGTAGTTTTGATTTTACTATAAATAAGTCGAGGGAGTGAACAAGCTACATAAGTAATTGACTCTGGTAACACGATAAAAAATAATTGAATTTGATTACTCAAACATGCAAATTTTCAAATAAATATAGGATTAACCAATTCCGGTAATTAATAAAGCCGTCTTTGTTGGGACATTATTACTCGTCAATATAAGCTACATATTTTGTGTGAACGGCGCAACGTTAAAAGATTGTCGTACACTCTTCATTCTAGAGTTTTAGTTGCACAACCAACCCCAAACGTTGAACAAAAATTCTATTTGTACCGAAAGTTGTCCCCCGTCTCACAACTCACGTGGCCCCACATGAATATAACCATTTCCAAATGTGGTCCTTACCCCCTATTGTAAATAGTAGGTAAAGGATTAAAAGAAATTATGTATATGTAGCATTGTCCAACGATGAAAACGGTTCGAATCTTTGTTGAATCGTCATATGGCAATTCATAAATCACATTCACATCTTAAAAGAATATTTGCATCCTTTACTTTGATCTCAAATTGTTACAGTATTTGTTGTTGCATGAATTTTACATAAAATGTCATACAAATTTACTTGGCTTGACGGATTCTCCCACTGTACAACTTCTTTGATTACCTTCTCTATCTCTTTGGTCTCTCTCGCTATATTGTTCATACAAAAAGCCAGGGCACTCAAGCTCAAAATCACTTGGTTCTTGAGATCTTCCTCGTCTTTCTCTATGTTGATATGGCTAAGAAGTTCGTCTGAATGGCGAAGAAAAGAATTTACATTTTTCACCGTCCAATCAGCTTCATTTGATGAAGAAACCTGGACCACATATGGATCGATTGGTATTCTTTTCCCAAGTTCGAGATCAAGAGAGCCTTTTCTCATTTCAAACTCCTTGTCGAGTGCTGCCAGCGATTTGATCATACTGATTTCCTCCAGACATTTTATTGCAGAGACGACACTCTCTTTAAAAAGCTCGAGATCACCATCTAGCTTAGAAACAGTCTCTTTCCAGTGCTTGCTATCAAATCTCCTGGATTCTTGTTCTAGCAATTTGATGGCTTGAGCCCCGAAAAGCAAGAAATCTACCATTTTTGACAATGAGTCGAGGAGTTTACCATAGCAAGCACTATGAAAAGGCAAGAACCAGAAATTAGGCTCTGCCGCAGCTTCCCCAATGAATTTTCCTAGCTCGTTTACTTGAAACTTCAACTTCTTTTGGCCTTCTTCGAAGTTGGAAATAGTCGACGTGCAAAGGCTTATCATTCCAACACATTTGTGCAGCGTCCCAAGAACCGTAGAAAGCTGAATTTTAGCCATAGTAGCAGCTCTTGTAGGTTGAAGTAGAACATCTACCATGATGGAACAAGATAAACCAATGAAGGTTTCGACTATTCGGGCTATAGCAAATTCACGTGGAGGACCGAAATTCTCCCTACCCAAAATCAGTACTGCACCTATAACTGCCGAAATTCCACCAGCCTGTCCATACATTTTGCTCTTGCATAAAAATTTGCTGAAAATGAACCAGGGAAGAAGGGAGAGGAACCTGAGTTTTATGTACTTTCCGAAAATAAAACAGCATATTACACCATATACAGTTCCAATAACTGTCCCCTGAGCTTTGGCATTTGCGATTTTAAACGTAGCTTCTCTTCCTGATGTAAGGCTTATGGCAACCGGGAGGCCAGCCCAGAAACCATTTTCCTTGCTATACATCAAACCAAGTAGAACGGCAAAGCCTAATGAGAGAGAGGATTTGAAAGCTGGCATTAGTCTCCTTTTGTTTATTCGAATAGGAGTACTACAAATATTCCCAAAGTATGATTTTTTCTGTTTTTCTGAGTCATTTGGTCCGTGTTTGGCAGAAACATTTGGGGTAGTAGCTGCTGATTTGCCTTGAAGAAGTTTCAAACAGAACAAGAAGAACAAAATGGGCAAATCTTTATCTGTCACAGGGATAATGGTATGAAGTTTTTGGAGGAATTTCACATCATTTTCTGTTTGTGATTCTGGGATAATTGTCATTAAAGGGGGCATTCTCTTTATTTGATTAGAAATATGTTCTTCTAGACTATTTGTTGGTTCATCTTCCAGCTGTGGATCCGCTAATCTAACTGGAATTTGAGAGCAATTGGTTAGAGAAATCTCCATTCCTCTCAAGATTCTTTCAAGATCTTGCAGCCTTTCTCCAGGATTCGTACAATACGATTTGAAGAACATGACTATAAACCTCTCCCACTGCATGCTTTCCTGTTCATGAACATTCGCAGATTAAGTTATAAAATTTAATTCACTTCTTAATAAATAGAAATGGAATTAATAACAACATTTTCGGTAAGGTAATGAAGGCTAGATGGTATGGACGGTACTAAGAAAGAAGAAGATATTCTAGTCTAGTAGTCTTTTTCATTTTATCATTCGATCATGTTCAATATTTTGTACCAACCAAACATGTCTGTACATAGACTTACTTGCTTCGACTTAATGCTTTGGAGAAGCTTGTTTCCTGGGACAGACAAGGATTTCTCTTGAGAGATTAATGCCTGTCTCAACTTGTTATCTTCAGCCAAAAATGCCTTTACAATGAGCTTTAACCTTTCAGAGACATTATCAGAAAAAAGCTTGAAATTCTCTGTCACCTGAAACACAAAAACATAAACATTTAGTCCTCTATTTAATCATTCAACATATTACACCTTGTTTGGTTTAGTTAAAAATCAGATTTTTAGTATATTTTGATAAAAGTTGATGAAAAAAGTTATAGTTCCATAAAATTTGTGGTTAAGATGATCTTGAAGAAAATGAGAGCGAAACGCGATATCTTGTCTATGTTTATTATTTCACTTCATACAGGTTTAGGATTAAAAAACAAAATTAGTCTCAAAAATTGCTAGAAAATTCTCATCTTTTTCCAAATAACAGAGACGATATCCATGTAGAATAATACTAATGTGCATGTCTTTCTATACGAGAGATTCTTTTAACTTATTTTGAAAATAGATATGGTTTTAGCAGCTAATTTTACTAGGAAATGTCCAATATTGTTACCTCACGACATGCCAAACTTGGATAGGGGAACAAAAGGGCCAAAACACAAGCCACCACTCCAAGGGCTGTGCTTGCAGCCACACGGATAGGATGCATAACGGGTTCAGTGTGCATGCCATTGACAAAGCCTATTACATAGACAATGACTATCTGGCCAAGTGCTATTCGCTTAGATATCAAGTGGGTGTTCTCAGGTAGCACCACCAAGAATGCACTCACTGCCACCATGGCCGCGGTGGTGCTCGTGGTGAGTCGTGACGGTCCAATCAACCACAGGCTGAGGATAGCCGGAAAAACGCCTTGGAATGAAGCATAGAAGGCGAGCCAACAACCGCGTAATGTGTCACCTAATGTGGCATCGGTCACAATGAGGATAACCGTCACGTATGAAAATGCGGGGAACGCTATTTCGCGCTTGATGGCCTTGGGAGCATATAGAGTGATGCAACCAACTATAGTGCAGGCTAATGCAGTCTTCAACGCTGCGGCCAAGCATGATCGCCATAGATCTCGACTGCGGTTGGATTCATTTCTTGAGGCCATTATTCTAGGCGTCAAGATTGAATTACTCGTTGGAGTTTGAAGAAGAGAAAGGTCCAATCAACCACAGGCTGAGGATAGCTGGAAAAACGCCTTGGAATGAAGCATAGAAGGCGAGCCAACAACCGCGTAATGTGTCACCTAATGTGGCATCGGTCACAATGAGGATAACCGTCACGTATGAAAATGCGGGGAACGCTATTTCGCGCTTGATGGCCTTGGGAGCATATAGAGTGATGCAACCAACTATAGTGCAGGCTAATGCAGTCTTCAACGCTGCGGCCAAGCATGATCGCCATAGATCTCGACTGCGGTTGGATTCATTTCTTGAGGCCATTATTCTAGGCGACAAGATTGAATTACTCGTTGAAGCTTGAAGAAGAGAAATTGGGGAGGGTAGGGTACATTTTGGGAGAGGTTGAATGGTGGGGTTTAAGTAAGGGGAAACAATAAGGCCATTGCGTCAGATTGTGTTCATTGAAGAGACTAAAGGGTCAAGTTTGGACGTGGCGAAAATTCTTGAGTGTATATAATAATGATCAATGTTCGTTAAAGCAAAGGTTTCCCTTTTTGCATCTGAATTTCGTAGGATGGCTTATATCAGTGCGCTTATTGCCTATGTAAGCATTTCATAAAGCTTACTCATGGACTTGTTTGGTGGGAGAGAGAAAGAGAGAGAGATCCACCATCTACCCACTTTGTGTCAGCTGAAATAGAAATTTTTTCCTGGGAAATTGGCAGCAGCTCTTCTCTGACCTTGTATGGTGGGATACCATGCGTAAAGTTGTAAATCGATTTGTCTCCTTGTCTAACACGAGACTTTTTTAAAGTAATAGATATATTATATTATCCCATTGTCTTAGTCTTGGTTTTTAATTAATTCTGGTCGAG